GAGTTTGGGGTGGGATAGGGAGAAGTAGAGGATGTGAAGTACAACTTAGAATTTATCCTATTCCATCCACATCTTTTTCTTTCTTTCTTTTTTCTTTCTTTTTGCAAGTAGTAACACGTTCTAAATAGTTTGTAGCAAATTTCTGAATGCTAAAAGAGCTTGGGTAGAAGGAAGCCTTTAGCGTCTTGTCAGGATCTTAATAAGCTTCATTTTTTCCAATACAGAACCGGGTTGAAATCAATGATGTGGAGCCTGAAGTTTTTAAGGAAATGATGTGCTTTATTTACACGGGGAAAGCACCAAATCTTGACAAAATGGCTGATGACTTACTGGCAGCTGCTGACAAGGTACAGTTGGGATTTAGGGGTGTTCAGAGGAATGACATGTGCCTTGCTTTTCACAATGCACCTCGGAGATTGCCGCAGTAAGCTTTTCATGTGATCCTTGTGGTTGGGCAGTTTCTTTGAATGATTTGTGGCTTTTAGCTAAATGTGGATGTAGTACAGATACATGTAAGATACCTATGGCTCCATGGTTATGTATGTTAACATATGACAGTCAGGAATTTCTGTCTTTACTGCTCATTTTTAAGCATTCTCTTAAATTTCAGGGGACAGCTCTATTCAGCATAATTTAATGTAGAAGAAAATGTCAAGGTGGACCCGGCGATTATTTTTTTAGTGTGATTATTACCAGGTCTCAAAAGTAGCGTTCTGTCCTGGCAAACAGGCCCTGCTTCTCCTTCTGATTGATAGCAGCAGCTTCAAGAGATGCTCTAAAGTGCTGGAGAGCCAGGAGTTGGCAGGTGCTGTTGTTTCTTTTCTTTTTGCAGTGGCAGTCCCTGCTGTTTGTGGAGAGGAGGGGTGCACTGGAGGAAGCCCTGTGGCCTGACCCGTCTGTGGTTTTGCAGGGTCCTTGCAGGGAGGTGTTGGGGATGGTCTGACTGGAAGGTGCTGGTAGTCGTGGCCTTGCCAGCCGCTGCCTCCTTCCCTTTGCAGCACCAAGGACAGAAGAGCGCTGGCCAGTGAGCCGTGTTAACCAGTGAAAACTCGTTATATATAACTGCAATTTTATTTCCTCTTTTTTTTTTTTTTTCTCTTAAAAGTGAACTTAGTGCTGGTGCAAGATGCCAGTTTGACAGCACTGGAGACTAAAGTCCTGAATTTATCCATTGAACAGGTTCAGCACGGGTAGCAGCAGTGCAAGATTCTCCACACTGCCCTGCCACTGTGCCTCAGCTCTGACCTGGAGGGACCACCTCTAGGGGTGAGACCGTAGTTCAGTCTCTCTCCATGCTTCTTCAGTCCTTGGATTCTCTTGTGGGTGCCAGTCAGGGTGGTGGATTTTAAGATGTGGATGCATGTAACCTTGTTCCACGCAACCACCACGCGGCCATCAAATTTCCCTGTCGCTGCCAACCTGGGCTTCATCAAAAATGCTGATTTTTTTTTTTTAGAGTTGCAATGCTCCATATGCCATTATTTAGGCCACTGCAACTGGAATTAAAATGGGAAATAATGCAAGGAGATTCTTGGACTGATTATAATCATTGCCACATACTTTATTCAATATTTAAAGAGTATTGATTGAGACCTCACATACCATCTTTAACTGAGACAACAGTAAGTAAGAAGCAGTACATTAAGGACAGAGTAAGCCTTAACTTTGAGTTTTCTGCCTTTTAATGTAGGGGTTTTTTTTTCCTTTTAAACTCATTGTGTGCCTTTTAAAAGCAGAAATAAAAAAATCTTTCATGAAAGCGCATAAAACATCTAATATTTACTCAGGAGACTGAAACAGCTTCTTCTGAGTTCCTCCTGTCTCTTGGGGAAATATGTAATTAGACCAAAACCAAAACAAAGCACGTCTTCTCAACCCAGGAGATACTATTTCAGCCTCTTGGGTAAGTATGCTATTAGGTAGGGTGTTTTTTTTAAAGTGTAATTAAGAAAAGGGGGAAGGGGAAATCTTAGTACCTGAGAGACCAGGATGGCTACTTTTGCCCAAGTATGTAATTAGAAGCTGAGCTATTTGTAGCAAAAATCGAAATAAAAATTGTACATGCGTGGAGGAGAATATTCAGTTTAAAAAAAGGAATAATTTTAAGCTTCGTTTGCTGCATTTTAAGCTACCGAGAGACAATAATGTAAACTAATGGCTTGCCCCTCGTTTGAAACTGGTTTAGTTATTGATACAGATTAAGCAAGTAAATTTGATTTGCCTTCTCAGATGTTCTGGTGGGAGAAAACTGTCCTGGTTATGAGTGCCATGCCTCGACTGACGTAATTATTACTGCCGAGTCTTAAGTGGAAAAAATGCTTTTATAATCTAAAATTATTCAAATTTAATCATTGTGGGATAAAAATCTCAATCAGAGTATAAAAACAATTTATAGCAGTAGTGGGTATCGTATGGCAAGCGCTCCCGTCGTCGTGCGGATGAGGTTGTCACCAGCTCTGCTCAGGTTGGCAGAGCAGTCCTTACGGATCTGGTATCCTTTCCAAATACGGCCTCACATACTGAAGAACTTGTGTGTTGTGTCATCTCTTAAGTTATCAGAAGAAACCTGATGAACAATATGAAGGATGCTCTCAAGCGCTCTGATGTGTCAGATTTTTAAAAATTAACTATATTAAAGATTTCTTCTTTTTTTTTCCCCCCAGAAATGTCACTCTATTTGAAGTCATAATGTGAAGGAGACTTAACTGTGGTTAATCGTTAGGACCATTTATGTAGTGCTAATGTAATTACTCATAGAAGAACTGCATTAGAATTGACTGCTCTCCTAATCCCTGTGAATTGCAATCATGGGATCTGGAATATTCAGAATTACTCAGTTTGTTTCATCCAGAGAGCTGCAAAGCCCGTAATCAGAGCACACATACCAAGATTTTCAGACGTTTCTCAGTCTCTCAGTTCCCAGCGAGGATATTCTAAAAGACTGAAGTTTGGGTTTCATTTCTTGATAATGAGTGACTTAAAGTTTCCTGGGTATTGACCTTTCAGAAGTCTGCCCGAGACCACTGTGTTGCTTTTGAAAATCTTGCCTGTGTCTGCGTGTTTCAGGACTGATTGAAGTGCTGCAGAAAGTAGAGTGTGAAATTTATTAGACAGCACTCTTCTTCTAAGCGTAGCCTTTGAATGTCGCAAACCATTGACATGGCCTAACCCCGTGGATCTGAAAAATCTAAATGCACAATTGGATGGTAGAAATCCTTAGACTGAGAATGTGAAGTTAGAATAAAGCCATTGCCAGGGCATTGCAGACACGCTGTGATGTTTCGTTTCCAGCTGGATAGCTGCACGAAATCGGGGGCATTTGTTTCACATTTTAGTATTAAACTAGTAGCATGTAGTTGAGCAAGGCTGATCTTAATGTGCAGGTCATTAACGGCAAAGAAAGAGAGAAACTGCCTAAACAACACTGGATCACCTACAGAGCATTCACAGTCAGACAGGTCTTCCCACTGAACCCGGGTAATGCTGTCATGCAGTAGTAGAGTGAGAATAAAGATTTGGCTTTAGCATTCTGTGCCTTGAAGTAACTGAGATAGTAGCTACTCCAGGTGACCTGAAATTCTCATTTCAAAGCATGAATGCAGCGCCAGTAAGCCTGTAACAGGAGAAGGCTGGGATGAGAGGTATGGTGGGTATTTTTCCTCTCCATTGCTTTCCTCAGGGTGGGCACTTCATGATTCTCCTTTTTGTTTTGCTTTGTCACAACTTCTCTGAGTGCAGTTCAGATGCATGGAGCAAAGCAGAGAGGTCTGCTCAGCGTAAGAGTAGTTGGTTATGGAAGAGTGATGAGCACGAGTAAGGCTTCACATCAGGCCTGATTTAGGTGTTTTCTCCTTTGTGATTGGACTTTGCTTTGTATTTTGCAGTACGCGCTGGAGCGCCTGAAGGTGATGTGTGAGGATGCCCTGTGCAGTAACCTGTCTGTGGAGAACGCAGCCGAAATCCTCATCCTGGCTGACCTACACAGTGCTGATCAGCTGAAAACTCAAGCAGTGGACTTCATTAACTAGTGAGTTTTGTTCCGGGATACAACAAATCTACAGGAAAGCGTTACTTACTAGCAACAGAGTTCACAACTTGTGAACTGTCACGTACAGGGGAGATTCTGTTCATTTATTTATTGCTTTTTTAATTCTCCTGTTGTGATCCTTCATTTTTCTGGCGTCCCAAAAGGGGCATTGCCCTGAGGGCGGATTAGTCTCGTGCTGCTGGGACTGTTCAGCGCACAGAGGACCGTCTCTGTGAGCTGTTGTGGCTCTTTTACTAAGATCACAGGAACTTTCAGCTGGTAGAATATCAGATAGTCCCTGATATTGAGGATCTGTGTGCAGCTCGTAGTATAACAGATCTTTCAGTAGATGTGCAATGATTACTTCGATGTGTGGAAACATTTTTAGTCCTTTTTGTCAGTTAATACAGTTTTTATCAGTACTTTCTATATTGATTTAAAATCTGTACTGAGCAGTCAAGGTAGATGAGTGTTGTGTTCCTGCCGTCCCCCACCTGGCACCACGTATGTTTAAGCTTTTCATCGTTAAGTTGAAGGACTGTCCAGCATACAGCTGTGCCAGCAGAGCCAGCATTCGCAGTCATTGCAGAAGATGCCTAACGTACGTCCAGAGCGAGCCTAAAAACAGCACGCTAAAAATGTCAGGTTTCTCGGGCATGTGGAAAGAATCTACTTAGTTAATCCTTTTTATCCCCAGTTGATAACTTCAGATTTGTTCTCTCTTATTTCTAGTCACGCTTCTGACGTCATGGAGACATCAGGCTGGAAGTCCATGGTAGTGTCGCATCCCCATTTGGTGGCCGAGGCCTATCGCTCTTTGGCCTCTGCGCAGTGTCCCTTTCTGGGACCCCCACGTAAGCGACTGAAGCAATCCTAAAATCCCGTCCGTCACACCACCCCATGTTTTTCTGGAAGCAGCATCAGTTGTTGCTGCTGTAACCTTGACCACCAGGTAGACAGCGAAATGTGTGGAGCTTTTACTCTGTTGTTGGGGGGAAGAGACTGCTTCGTGACACCCAGACTTTTTAAAACAGCACCAAGTAACTTGGGGAGAGGGGGGAGGGTGGGCCTGGGGCTCTGGGGCTGTTCAACCTAATGAATCCCTGTCGCTGCATCGTCTGTGTGTTCCCTTCGACTTGGCTGAGTCAATTAAATACAGGGTTTGGTTTAGGCACCGACCCAAGTCGGAATAACCCAGCAGTGGTACTGGGGAAGACGACGTCTCTGCGTCTGGCAGCACAGAACAAATCGTCAGATGCCTGGAGCAAGAGGACATTTTAGCTTTGGAGAGTTCAAAAGAATTTCCAGTGAGGTTCTGGAAAGGAAGTTACCTGATGGGAGCTCCAGTAGTATTTATATCAAAAAAAAAAAATAGAGAATTTAAGTCCTTCCAGCTGAGCTAAAAACTGGACGTTTGTGTAACTCCTTATTGCCATCCAGCAACGAGATCGGTTTCTCTGTTAGTAGCACTTGTATGTTAATTGCAAAAAAAAAAAAAAGAAAATTAAAAAAAAAAAAGAAGAAAAAACCCCCACCTTTTATAAAACGACAGGTTGAAGTGAAAGGGGACAGTGAAAGGCGTGTGCTCTGGAGCGTGTGCATAGATCGGTGGCGGCCTTTGGCGAGTCTGTGTTGGCTTTGAAAGGACTGGAAACGATCGATCTGGAGCGTGCTGTCTGACGAGAGCAACGGTTCCCGTTTTTAGATACGGTGGGAAATGTTTTTGGCATTTTTCCCTGCTTTATTTCCCTCCTCCCCCTTTTTTTAAAAAAGAAAAGGAGAAAAAAAAAAAAGATAGAAATTTTATTGTCCATGAACGCTGCGTCAGAAGTCCCTGTCCTGAGTTGCTAAATGATTCTTAACAACTGTTTGTACCTGACTTGCCGACTGTATGGGAGCCAGTCCTGTTCCTTTCTATTAGTCACTCTTCTTACAGGGAAGAAGTTTCAAAATAGCTGGTAAATTTTTTTTTTTTCTTTTGGAAAATATAAATAATTACTATTTTGTACTGTGTGGTATCTGTTGTCTTTTTTGGTTGTTGTTTCGTTTTTAAAGACTTGCCCGTTTTAAAACCTGCTCCCCAAAGGTTCGGTTTGGGCCTGCTGCCGTGTGCCGACAGTGACGCGCTGGTCCTGCAACTCCAGTGGGATTTGTTAAGCGAAGTCACGCACAAACCTGCGTTGTTTCTCATAGCAGGCATTACCAAAATCCTAAAGAGGATCTGTTTTCATAACCGCTGCTGACCCGTGGTCCTTGCTTTTACCTGTACCTGTTTACATGTGGGAAAGGAGAAAGAAGAGCATGGTAAGCCATCTGCTTCCTGACATTAAGGTGCAGCACAGGATGTCTGGGAAGGACAGACACCATCCGTTCATGTCATCATTAGCCCCAAATCTCCAGGGGCCTTAGATTGAAATACGCCGTGCCTGGGCAGTGGCAAATTGATCCGACCTTAAGACGGTCAGGTAGGGCATGGAATGGATTAGAGAGAATAACGCTCTTTTGGCTAGGAAATAAATTAGGGACCCGTCGTCTCTGATTTTTCATTCTGTGACCGTACTTTCTTTCACAGCCTCTCGTCCCTTGTGTGAAGGAGAATTCCGTTCGTACGCCGCCGTGTTTAATCCGGCTGCCGTCTATTTTTATCGAACGGTGACTCATGAGAGGGTCCCTGCCCCTTTCTGTGTTCCCCCACCGAGGCTCTCACTGCAAACACACGGCCGTCTGTATTGTAAAGCCTTCCTTTTCCGTGGTCCACAAATTCCCATGTTACACCCATTCCTTTTCTGTTGGATTTAGCCTGCGTTTCATTTTAGGTAGTTTAGTCCTAACGCTATTCTCCTCACTACCCTGTCAGATCTCAAACCCGGCGATTCTCGCTTTTAATTGCGTGCAGACACGAAAAGTTCATCGCCAGGTAACGGCAGAAGTTGTCTGCGTGGCACAGAGACGTCTCATTACACAGCAGGAACTGCGTTGTTTACCGAAATACTCAAACCCAAACGAGACCTTTTCTCCTTGTCACGTTCGAGGGACCAACTGTTGGAGGAGCATCCCTGGCTCAGCCCTGCCTCGGGAAGCAGCCATGCCTGGAAGAAAGCAAAGGGGCGATCGCATCGCCTGTCCTCAGCCTTTTTTTGAGGGATTTTTGTTTAGAGGTATTTACAGGAAGGTGATGCACATTTGGCAGCCTCTTCCCCTGGAGGCTGGGGAGATACCTGCAGGAAAATAATCTGTTCTGGGGCTTGTCTGTCCCAGCCCTTCCTGCGGTGCACTTGCAGAATAGGCTGTCATGGAAGGGCTGAAATGAGATCTGCGAAGGAGGCGACTTGTTCAGGTTGTTGGGATTGCAGGTGAATTAATGATTTATTTGTCAGCTTCGCTCTTTTTTTTTGTTGTTGTTGTTGTTTGTTTTTTATTGTGAATGATACGGCTGAAGCCATCTGGTTATAACAACATCAGAGCTAGAGCATACTGTTCATAAACCTCCCACTGACATCCTCCCCTCCCCAGATCTGAAATGTAATTCAAGTTAACTCGCAATCTGTGGCGTGTGTTGTTACTGCAGAGATGTCCATGCCAGTTGAACAGTTGGAGATTTGAATTCCACAAGGAGATGGCATATTTATCACAACAGTATTTTGGAGAGACATTTTTACCAGGTCTCCTGAACCACGGCGTTGCTACCACAGGTCCGGATCCAGAATTGAGGTTGGACCCTGCACTTGTGCTTTTAATTCCTTCTCCTCAGAGGTGTTGCGGGGAGACATTTCATCCCCGTGTGCAGTCTTTCATGTGCTTCCTTCTCCTTATTATATCCTCGCCCCTGCTTCCTCTACTCGCTTTTGTGCCGACCGGCGAGGGCTGCAGCCTTCATCTGGGTGCGAGGAGGAGCGACAGGAAGGAGAAACCCCTCGACCTCCTCCGGCAGCCGCGCGTGCCCTGCACCCAGGAGCAGGCGGCTCTCTCGGAGCATCCAAACATCAAATATTATTTTACCAGCCAAAAGATTTGCTTTCTTGGCTGCCCCTTGGGCTTTGTTATTACAGCCTCGGAGTCTATTGAGGTATTTTTCTTATTGTGTGAGTTTTTTCCAGATGAAAGGAAGCAGCTTGTCTGCTTATGAGCAGAACAAACAGCAGAGTGGGGAGAGCTGCTGTGCTTTGAAACTCTGGCTGGCTTTGTTCTGGTTCTCCAACTGCTGTTAAGGACACAATACCGTCTCGCTCCTTTTTCCTTTTTTATTTTTTCCCCACTTCCTTGAAGGAGCCAGAGATTATTTAAAAAAAAAAAAAAAAAAAGAAGAAGAAGAAACCCTTCGTTTCAGAAGGTTCCTCAACTTCCGCGCAATTTATTTTGCAAAAGGCTTTGCTGAAATAATTATCTTGCTCAGTCAGCTTGGGCCGTGCAGTTTGTCTTTCAGTCACGGCTGCCATTTAACTTGTGTTGCCGAATTGCTTCACTCATTTATTTCTCAGGACTTTTTTTGGTTAATCTGATATGAAAACATTTAATTACAGAGGGTGGTTTTGGTCGGGTGTTGTTTTCTTTTTTTCCCCTGACCTGCTGCCCACTTGGATTTTTGGCTGCAATTCCAGACACATGCTGCAGCAAATTTTGCCTTGGCAAACCCAGTTTCTCCTGTGCGTTACATTGAAAGTTAACTTGCAAACCGGTGGTGCTGGGCATACAGCAGGAAGACGACGAGCAAAAGAAATTGAGGAGACGGCTGGGAAGAAAATAACAGCCCGTGAAATAGTCGGGGAAAGAAATTGCTGTGACCTGGAAGGCTTCTGGAAAATCTATACGATAAATAAAGCAGGAGAGGTTTGGTAGGAGGTGGCCTTTGAATCTGGTTGAAGCACAGGCAAGAAAAATCAAGAGTTTGGGGTTAAGTTTGCCTTTGGATTTTGCGTCTTGCTTCCACTTGATACATGAGACTTTGTCTCTGAGACTGAATTATTAAAATCACTTGAGGAAATGTGTTAATTGATGGGGTAAATTGGGAAGGGATGGAGAGAAGATTGCAATTATTCCATCAAATGATGAAAAATCGCAGGCAGGAGAAGATAAAATGTAGGGCTCCTCTTTGAATAATTGAAAAGCATCGATGGCCAAAAAAATAAAATATAGTTGAGGTGGTGGATGATAAACTGGATGGGATCTGGGGCACGACCCCCACCCCTGCAGAAGAGAAATGATGGCCTGGGTTATTCTGGAGTGTTTTTCTCTAACCTGACTGCGGGAACGTTGCTTTGAGCTTTGCCATCGGGAAACCGAGCAGGGGTTGAAGAGAAAACCCGTTGACTTCTGCCACTGGGGAGCAGTGCTGAGGACGAGAACCCTTCAGGTGTTGGTGCCGAGCTGCTGCTGAAGCTTTCGGAGCCTTGAGACAGCCAGAGGTTGTGCATCGAGGAGTCGTGGGATGAAAAGGAACAAGTGGAAGCTGTGTTCAAGCTGTTGCTCCGCTTCTGGAAGGCTCCTGGCAGGCGCAGAGGATGTCCCTGAGCGTTTTGGGTCGTGTAAAACCCACTGGAGAGAGCACCCCCTCAAACAGGGACCCAGTTCCAACACGGGGGGAGCTGAGAGTGCTCCTCCTCAATATTTAATCACTGGAGTGGGTCCTTTTTTCCTCTCCACGCCACCTTATTTCAGTCTTGGGGCAGGACCACAACATTTTGGTTGCTTGCTTTACTCTGCATTTAGAGGAGAGTTTCCCGCTGTTGCCTCGGCTTGATGCTGCATTGCAGTTTGTCCGCCTTTCTTCCCCGTTAACTTTATTTTTTTTCACTCCTCTAGGCAGGTGGCGTTGGCAAAAATTATTGCTGATTATTGAATTTTCGCCAGACAACAAAAACGCTGGACAAAAAGAGCTAAACAGGATGCGGAGCTGTGAAATCCGTGGCCAGGTTACAGCTCACGGCCGGCTCCGCTGGTTGTTGGAGGCTCGGCAGGGGTTTCACCCCCATTGCAAGGACAACTGGGCAGACTGGGAGTTTTCCAGTAGCTTGTGCTTGTGGACTGGGGGCAATTTGGCTTCTCTCCCGCGTGTGGCACAGCAAGGAGACACAAATTTGGGTGGTTGTAGGTCAGAGAGGTTCTCCTCCCCCTCTACTCTGCCCTGGTGAGACCGCATCTGGAATATTGTGTCCAGTTCTGGGCCCCTCAGTTCAAGAAGGACAGGAACTGCTGGAGA